GCGCCCCACCTTGGGCCCGCCAGCCGGGAGAGGAGCCACCTCTCACCCCCCCCACGGCAGATGGCCTCGTTGGCCAGAACCGACCAGGGAGAGAGAAACGGCCCCCAAAGCCCTGGGGCAGCAGCGAGCCTCACGCCGTGCCCCTCCGTCACAGCCACACGCGGGGTGCAGCTGCAGTGGGGCTCGACCCCCGAAACAGCAAATGCCTCGTCGCGGCTCCAGGCCACGGGGACCATTTCAAACACCGCCTGGCCCCTCTCCCGCAGCCCGTGGACGCGCCGTCCCCTCCTGTGAGCGCCGCTGCTCTGGGCAAGCAGGGGACAGAGCCCAGGCAGCTCAGCCCAGCAACACAGCCACCTCATTTTTTGTGTATCAGCTAATTTCTTCACTTCAAAGCTCTAATGCACACACCTAACTAAACATCCAGAGCACGTATCACACCTTTTGCCCAGCCGGTTCTTCCTCTGCAGACACCCAACACCTGAAGGGCATTCCCACGCCACAGCTCTGAGCTCTCCCCCTCCTACCCGGTGCCAAGCAAAGAGCAAGCAGCTCCTCTGAGCGCTTTCCTGCTTCTCCCGAGGCCGCTTGACTCTCCCAGCAAGGAGGCAGCACTCCAGTGGCTCTGCAAGCCAGGAGGGCTTCGAACCGCATGAAAATTAAGGCAGCAAACCGACTCGCTAAAAGGAACGTCCCGCTCAAACCTGCCTGTGCGTCCCGGGCTACTGACACCTCTCGCTCCCCTTCTCGGTTTTGGTGTGTGTTTGCTGTAAATACTCAAATAACTATGTGGATTCTGGTGCTCCCATCCCTATGGTACAGTGAAGTTCAATCCATTTAGCCAAAAGAAAAAAAAAAAAAAAAGAAAATAGGAAAAAAACCCAGCCTGTGAGCACGGGCTACCCTGCCAGCTTGCTGGTTACAAGCGAGGATTTTCTCTGCGGGAGGTCCTGCGGCGTCGGGATGTGGTCTCCTGTCACCAGGTTCTTGTCTGGCCCCGCACTTGGCAACTGCTTGTTCTTCATCTTTGCCTTGGCCATGTTGTAGTCACCAGAATCGAAGTATTTTTGCTGGAAGAAGGAGAGGAGTTTGGGTTACTTTGATTTGCGAGAGCGTGGAGACACAGCAGAGATATGGGGGAGGCCAATAACACTGCGGGTTGGGAACTGGTGCAGGTAGGATCCAGGAGGGGGAAGAAGCCTCCCTCAAAGCCTGAGGTGCCCCTGCAGAACCGCTTCATGGCTCTGCAGAATGAAGAGGGAAAAAAGGATGAAATAAAACGCCTCAGAGCTGGGGAAGGCAGCTAGATCAGCTCCCCGGATTACAACAAGTGCCACCAAGAAAAGGGACAGGTAATAGCAGCGGGAGAACCTCTTTTGAGGGGTACTGAGGCGCCCATTTGCCGACCCGACCCGCTGTCCAGAGAGGTTTGCTGCTTACCAGGGGCTAGCATTAGGGATGTCACAGAGAGACCACCAGACCTGGCACATCCCACGGACTGCTAGCCATCGCTGCTGTTTCACATGGGCACCAGTGACGCAGCCAGAAGCAATCTCCAGAGCATCAAGAGGGATTACAGAGCCCCAGGCGAGGCAGTGAAGGACTTGGGGCCCAGGTAATCTTTCCATCAATCCTCCCACTCAAAGGTAAGAGCCGACAGGATCAGGAAAATCAACGAACGGCGGAAGGAGTGGTGCCACAGGCAGGGCTTCGGCTGCTTGGACCCCGGGACTCCCTGTGAGAAACCTGGTCTGCTGGGGGCTGGTGGGGTACATCTCTCAGAGAAGGGGGAGAACATCTTTGGACAAAGGCTAGCCAACCCGGAGGAGCTGGAGGTGTGCGCACGTCTACAAGGCTGTGATGTTACAGGCGTCACTGAGACGTGGTGGGGCAGCTCCTATGACTGGGGTGGAGGAACAGACGGGAACAGGCTCTTCAGGGCAGGGGAGAAGAGGAGGGGGTGTCACCCTTTATGTCGAGGACCAGCTGGAGGCCGTGGAGCTTGGCCTGGGGATGGGTGAGGAGCTGACCGAGAGCTTACGGGGCAGGGTTAGAGGAAAGGCAGAGGAAGATGGTATCATAGTGGGGGTCTGCTACAGGCCACCCGACCAGGATGACCGACTGGACGAGGCCCTCTGTAGACAGACAGGAGGAGCTGCATGTTCACAAGCCCTGGTCCTCATGGGGGACCTCAATCACCCGGGTATCTGTTGGAAGGAAGGCACAGCAGGGCCCAAGCAAACCAGGAGGTTCCTGGAATGCATTGACGACAATTTCCTTCTCCAGGTGGTAGAGAAACCAGTGGGAAAGGGTGCCGTGCTGGGCCTTGTTCTCACCAGCAAGGAGGGGCTGGTGGCTAATATGAAACTCAAGGGAAGCCTTGGCTGCGGTGATCGTGAAATATAGAATTCAGGATCCTCAGGGCAACAAGGAGGATGTGCAGCAAGGTCACTCCTCTGGGCTTCAAGAGAGCAGACTCTGACCTCTCAGGGATCTGCTTGGTGGAGTGCCACGAGATGAAGCCTTGAAGGGGAGAGGGGCCCAAGAAAGCTGGTCCATATTCAAGGACCACCTCCTCTGAGTCCAGGAGCAACGCCTTCCAAAAGAGAGGAAGACAGGCAAGACCACCAGGAGGCCGGCGTGGATGAACAGGGAACTCCTGGACACACTTGAAGACAAAAAGAGAAGTTACAGAAAGTGGCAGAAAGGACAGGTAGACTGGGAAGGATACAAAGAAGTTGTCCGAGCAGGTATCAGGTAAGGAAAGCTAAAGCCCAGACAGAATAAATTTGGCCAGGGACAACAGGGGTAACAAGAAAAAGTGCTACGGGTATGTCAGTGATAAAAGGAGACTAGGGAAGCTGTGAGCCCTCTCCGGAAGGAAACAGGAGAACCGGTCACGAGGGACATGGAGAAGGCTGAGGTTCTCCATGACTCCTTTGCCTCAGTCTTCACCGGCAAGGGCTCCAGCTGCACTGTCCAAGGTGCAGAAGCCAAAGGCGGGGACTGGAGAAGGAAGATTCACCCACTGTAGGTGAAGAGCAGGTTCGTGACTATCTGAGGAAGCTGAAGGTGTACAGGTCCATGGGACCTGATGAGATCCATCCACGGGTCCTGAGGGAACTGGCAGACCAAGTTGCCAGGCCACTTCCCATCATATTTGTGAAGTCAAGGCAGTCTGGTGAAGTGCTCACTGAGAGGAAAAGGGGAAACATCAGCCCCATTTTCAAAAACGGAAAAAAGGAAGACCCGGGCAACTACAGGCCAGTCAGTCTCACCTTGTGCCTGGCAAATCATGGAGCAGATCCTCCTGAAGGCTCTGCTATGGCACATGGAAAACATGGAGGTGGTTGGTGGCAACCAACATCTGGTGGCCTTTTGTGATGGAGTTACAGCATCAATTGACGAGAAGAGCAAATGATGTTGTCTGTCTGGACTTGGGCAAAGCCTTCGACACTGTCCTGCAGGACATCCTGGTCTCCGAATTGGAAAGACATGGATTTGACGGATGGAGCACTCGGTGGCCAAGAAATTGGCTGGAAGGTCACACTCAAAAGAGTTGCGCTCAATGGCTCGATGTCGGAGGGGAGAGCAGTGACAAGCGGTGTTCCTCAGGGACCGGTGCTCGTTAACATCTTTGCCAGCGACACGGACGGTGGCATCGAGTGCCCCCTCGGCAGGTTTGCCGATGACACCAAGCTGTGTGGTGAGGTCGACACGCTGCAGGGAAGGGATGTCCTGTGAAGGACAGTCTGATTTTTCTTGCCTTAAACAACCTGTTTTGCAGATTTTATGTACGTGTCTTGAACAAACCTGTTTTACAGTGCAAGTGTCATCTCCCAGCCCTGACCCCGGCCTGCTTTGCAGGGCAGCCTGCCCCAGGGAGGGAACGAGCCCTGCCAAGGTGGAGCAGTGCTCCCTCCTCGGAGATAGGAGGGTGGAGCGGTGTTCTCCTTCAGAAACTGTAGTTGGGGCGATCGATAAAAGGGACTTCAGTTGGAGCAGTGACCCAACCTCCCCTATCCAAACGGACAAGCCCTGCAGAAGAGGGGTGTTTCTGGACTTGCGCAGGGCCAATCCCTTATCTACAAGTGGACGCTGGACGTGAGGAAGTCCACTGCCTTATCTACAGTGGACAGAACCCCCTTGGAGCCTCCAAGATGTTGTATACTGCGCCTGTGTCCTAATTGGCATGGAAAGCAAGAAGAGGAGGGGATAATGTGAAGAGGACTCATGAATATGAATGGCAAGAGGCAATAAAAGTACCAATAATCAAGACGCAGGAGTGCACCCACCCCCAAAGAACCAAAGACCAGACCGGACCTGTGAGACATCACTGGACCCCAGGAGTGGTGATCTTTCTTTCTCTCTTTATTTCTCTTTTCCACTCTCTTTCTTCTCTCTCCATATTATTAAATTAGGGAAAGCCACACCTTTATCTGATCTGTGAAACAGTACTATTATCTAAACTGTGAAATATTCCTAATAAAGTGTGTTACTGCTGCCAGTCTACTGACCAAAGAGGGTTATGAACTCGCTCCCTTTGCCCGGCAAAGGGTCTCTGCCGTGCAGAGGAAAACCCCTTTTAAAAGGGAGGATACAAAAGATTCACCTACCCTGAAACCCACCGAGTGGGACGGGACATTTTAACTGCTGTCACGGAAAGAGTCCTCTCTCAAAGGGGAAGGGATCCCGAGTCAGGATTCGGGAAAGGAGAACAGAGAATCGGCCGAGCCTGAGTTCTCTGACCCGTGGTCACAGCTTCCTGGGTGCAGCCCCCACGGAACACACGGCCTGCCCGACGCCCCGAGGGCAGAGCTGGGCTGAGGGACGCTGGCGGTCACCTCCGGGTGTCGCGGAGCGGGTAAAGGGTTTGGCTGAGGAAAACAGATCGAAGCCGGGACAAAGGAAAGCGACAGCGTGTGGAGCACTGGGGGCTTCCCTCCTGGCAGCCCAGAAAGATAACTGCATCACCAAATGTGCTGAAAGAGAAACAACTGAGTCCTTACAAAACTTAGTAAAAACAACTACAAGGTGAATTAAACAGGGAGAGAGAAAAGAATTACACCCTGACAAAACACTTGCAAAGTGCATATGAGCGGGAGAAGGAGCTACAGCTCGACCTCCCTGCAGCCCAGGGCGATTTGGAAAGCTCCTCGGGGCAGGGGACCCTGGCAAAGGGAGAAGCTGTGGTTGAGGAAAAAGTATCCTCCCGTTGTCCTTGGGAGGAGATGAGGGAAGCAAATCTCCCTGGATGAGAGCCCTTATTAACACAGAGTGACAGTTCAATGGAGGGAGTGATTCCCTGGGGACAAGGACCCCTACAGAAACGCCCTGCAGTGCTGCCGAACTGACAAACGTTCGAGAGCCATCGAGCCGCCATCCCCAGGAGTCACCTGCAGTCTGTGTGTGCGGAGCATCAACCGCTGGGGGTGACCCAGTAAATCTGAGTGAGGAAGAGGCCCGAGGGTACTGGGGGCCCGGAGAGTTTCTGAGAATTGAGGGGGACCGAAGAGCCTCGTGGTCAGTTACCCAGAGGGCTGCCTGTTGGGCCAGGGGCACAGACCTCCTCAACCGGGGAGACCCCCTGATGATCCCCACGAGGGGCCTGGGTCAGTTCAAGGAGTCAACACACAGGTCGGCATGTTCACAATTGATTAATCCTAGACTTTTGGACCCTAAAATGTGCTCCCCCGTGCTGTTAAAGGCAGATCCTGACAGAATGACCCCGTTAACATGGGGACTGCCCGACTCACTGCAGGTCTCTGCCTACAACTACAAGACCAACTAAGAGATAAAACGAGGGCGGAAGGCTTGACAGCTGACAGGTTAAATCGACACATGGAAGGGGAGGAGGTATTTGATTCCTGACAAACTTGGGGAGAACGAGTGAATGACCCCGTAGCTTACAGCAGGGAAATGGGGGTTGGTTTGTCAGCACCACCCTCCTGGGCAATGAAGAGATTAGAAAACAAACACCTCTGGGGTAACGACAAAGTGAAATGGGGGTCCTGCTCCGTTTCCTTCAGGAATCAGCTAGGGAGGGAGGGAACAGAGAAGGGATGTCTATGGAAGATTTAAAATTGTTAGGAAGGGTATGGGGGAGGAAAGAAAGACTGAAACCCACCGAGTGGGATGGGACAGATGCCACCCAGAGGGACCAGGACAGGCTGGAGAGGTGGGCCTGTGCAAACCTCATGGAGCTGAACAAGGCCAAGCGTAAGGTCCTGCACCTGGTAGGGAGGGAGGGAACAGAGAAGGGATGTCTATGGAAGATTTAAAATTGTTAGGAAGGGTATGGGGGAGGAAAGAAAGACTGAAACCCACCGAGTGGGATGGGACAGATGCCACCCAGAGGGACCAGGACAGGCTGGAGAGGTGGGCCTGTGCAAACCTCATGGAGCTGAACAAGGCCAAGCGTAAGGTCCTGCACCTGGGTCGAGGCAATGCCAAGCCCCCTGCGGGGCTGCCTCCAGCTCTGGAGCCCCCAACACAACACAGACACGGAGCTGCTGGAGCAGGTCCAGAGGAGGGCTCCCAAGATGGTCAGAGGGTTGGAACACCTTTCCTATGAGGACAGGCAGAGAGAGTTGGGCTTGTTCAGCCTGGAAAAGAGAAGGCTCTTGGGAGAGCTCAGAGTGCCCTTCCAGTCCCTGAAGGGGCCTACAGGAAGGCTGGGGAGGGATTTTTGACAAGCGCCTGCCGTGACAGGAGAAGGGGTGATGGTTGGAAGCTGGGAGAGGGCAGGTTTAGACTAGATACAAGGAAGAAGTTCTTCACCCTGAGGGTGGCGAGACACTGCAACAGGTTCCCTACGGAAGCTGTGGATACTCCATCCCTGTCAGTGTTCCAGACCAGGTTGGATGGAGCCTTGAGCAACCTGGTCTGGTGGGAGGTGTCCCTGCCATGGCGGGGGGGTTGGAACCAGATGATCTTTGAGGTCCCTTCCAACCCAAACCATTTTGTGATTCTGTGACACACATGCCTGGCCACAAATACGATCCTTTAAGGAGCTGCCAGGGATGCTCCAAACCAGGTAACAAAACCATCACACAAGGGGAAAATCCAAGCAAGGGAGCTTGGCCTGACTTAAAAGGCCTTTAGCACCCACCCACAAACCCCAGAGTGACTCGGAGCTGCCCCAGCTGGAAGCAGCTGTGCCCCACGGCAGCTGCCGGTGTGACTCAAGACACCCGGGTGCCCTTTCGCCCTTCACCCCACGTCTGGCTGTTGGTCACCCGCGACCTTTGGCTGCGCGGTGTGGCGCTTGCTGGGTAAAGACCAGGTTTGTCCTGCTCAGCCCTTGCACCACACTCAGCGTAACAGGGATTCAGAGACACCCAGAGCGCTGAGCGCAGGCACGGCCACGTCAGCAGACGCCTCCAGACGCAGGCTCAGCCGCGGTGGCCAAGCTGGCAGACGTTTGCCAATGCAGTTTATTCTGGTTTGGTGAACAGACGAGCTGGTGTGACAGGGGCAGGATTTTCTCCGCAGGGAGCACAGCCTGGCCGGCGCCAAGGCCTTCACTGGCCTGTCCAGGCTCCCAGGAGCTGACATGATGCAGGGAAGCGCCTGCGAAGGCGCGGCCGGAGGACAACCTGTGTTCAAAGGGCGTTTTGCTCCCTTATCGCACCCGTCACCATGGGACTCTGTGCTCCTTCACGCCCTGCGGCGGCGTAAGAAAGGCTGAACACCACGGCAGAGCTGGTGCTGGCGCTGCAGCCAGGGCTTTGGTGGGCACAAGGAGCTCTGAAGCACCCAGTTGTGCCCTGGTGCACCGTCAGGCCCCAGTGAGCCCAGTCACAACGCAAAGCCCTTCCCCGCTTCAGCGCCAAGCCGTTAAACAACGCTCCCTTCCGTGCCTGCTTGAGGAGCTGGTACAGACAGCAACAGCCCCAGTGATCACGTCAACAGTGAGAGTGAGGGCACCTGGTGGCTGCTGGGGCAGAGGGGACAGCTGTCAGCACAGGCTGAAAGGGAAGTGGCAGGACAGAGCCAAACCCTGTGACACGGAGACACCCTGTGTTCAGAGCTGGGGAAGGCACGTGGGCGCCGGCTGCCAGCAGCTCAGGAGGGATTTATGTTTTCTGCAGCAGCCTCTGCGAGGAGCAGCGCCAGCAGTGCCAGCCCAAGCAGGCCACAGATGGCTCTCGGAGAGGGATTTAGTTACGTTTCCAGGGAGCACAGTCAGAGGGTTGGCTTTAGCAACGGCGATACAGCCAGCTGACTCGCTGGCATTCTCAGTGCCCTTCGCACCAGCCCACAACCCAGGTGAAGTGCAGACCAGGCAGAAAAACTCAGGCCCACAGCAGCTCTACGGCCCACGGAACCCCAGGGAGCGCAGCAGCGGGCAGGGGGGGGATTTATGCACTTGTTTCGCCTCTAGAGCCCAGGTTTCAGGCCAGGGCGTGGAGGAGAGGGTGGGATCCACCCCTGGGGGACATAGGCAGAGCAAAACCACCCAAGAGGCGGCACCTTTTGGGTTCTGAGCAGGAACAAGCCCTTGTTGCTTGACCACGGCAGCCCTCACTGCTTTGGGCTTGTGCCCACTGGGTGCCACGTCCAGCGCAGGCACTGAAAGGAGCCTGGCTCGTGGGCTTAACAGGCTTTTTGGTCCAGGGAATTTTGGTGTGATTCCCCTGGCCTGGTTGCAGCTTGGCTGCCTGTGCCATTGAGGGAGGAGAGGACACGCACAAGCCACGGCTGAGAAATAAATACCCCTTTCTGCAGTCTCTTCATGAGGAAGTCGGAGCCTCCAGGCTTCTGGCCTAGGTTGGGGTACTTGGCTTTCAGTTTTGCTTCTTCTGCTCTCTCAGGGGTGACAGTTTCCTTCTCCTGGGTGTCCTGAAAAACAGAGGGGGGTGGAAAGCCCTTCAGCACCACAGAAAAACACACACCTGCGATGCTGTAACATAACATTCAGCAGCACGTCCAAACCCCCTGCCGGGCAAGGTGTGGTCCCCTGGAAAATCCAGACACACTCAATGAATATTATAAACACTTTCCCAGCCAGAAACAACTCTTCCCTCCAGTACCTGTGGAAACAGGCAGAGACCCTCTCCCTGCCTCCTTCCCAGACGGGAGCCCCCGCAGGCGCTTGCGCCAACATTTGGCTTTGCAAACGGGGCTTCAAACGTCACCGCAAACCGCTGCTGGACCAGTGCCTTCCCCAAAAAGTGACACGTCAGAGCAGCACTGACAGACATCGGTCCAGAGCTGCCCAGCACGACGGGCTGCGGCGCTGAGAGGGTTCAGCCTTGCTGCGCCAGAAGAAACCCTTCTGCTCCAAAACCCACTCACTGGGAACGACAACCAGCACAGGCAGCAAAGCAGCATTTTAGCACCTATTTCACAGCCACAGGAGTTTCAGGATATTTTGGGAAGCCTCCCTGCTCGCTTGAAGCCTGGGACCCCTGGGGCCTATTGTGGCAGCAGGTGCCAGGCCCCACTTGTCGCCTGGCCCTTCAGCAGAACCCCCCAGCCCAGCTACCGAAGAAGCATCAGCCAATAACGATGCCCAAAGGGGGGTTCCCAGTGCAGGGCCTGGGATCTGCTCCCCAACCACCAGCCTCTCTCTTCAGGGAGGCGCATGCCCCCCGCTCCAGGGAAGGGCTGCAGGCCGGGGGACAGGTTCAGTCTGGGGTGGGACAGAGTCAGGGTCCCTGCAGGGCCTGGAGAGCCTCACCCACGGCCAGGCCAAGTTCTGGCTGGCCACCAGCCCAGCTCCAGTGGGAAC